GAGGTGTACAGAAACAAAGAATCCAAAAAAGGACTCACTCCACCAGTGAAGCAGTGGTGTACCCCCATGTCAAGTAAGGACTTGACATCCTGTGTTGTGTCAAATGAACAAAGAATCGAAAAAAGGATTAACTCCACCAGTGAAGCAGACCAGTAAAGACTTGACATCCTGTGTTGTGTCAAATGAAAAATAAAAATGGCATATAGTCAGAACTTGAGCCAGGGAGGCAGCCAAAAGTGAGCTAAAAGGTAGGGATAGGGGCTATGGGGCAAAGCCAATTGTCAGAACTGAAGACTAAATAACATCCAAAATTAAAAGAAAAAAGGATTAACTCCACCAGTGAAGCAGACCAGTAAAGACTTGACATCCTGTGTTGTGTCAAATGAAAAATAAAAATGGCATATAGTCAGAACTTGAGCCAGGGAGGCAGCCAAAAGTGAGCTAAAAGGTAGGGATAGGGGCTATGGGGCAAAGCCAATTGTCAGAACTGAAGACTAAATAACATCCAAAATTAAAACCAGGGGCAGGAGCAATGAGCAAGCCAAAAGGTCAACCAAGGATACAAAAATATAGCAAAGCCCAGAAAAACTTTGTTGCTTAAGCATGCCCCAGTTAGCTAGAGTGATGTCTGGCATCTGAGGGCACTTCCGCCTGCAGTTCAGTAGATCATCATGCAACACAGCTGTTGACAGATCCCATCAGCTCCTGTCAACAGAACACTGTAGGAGGTTGTTACTGTCTTTTAATCTGGCTGGCTGGATTATTTGAAATAAATTAAATGGCTGGCTGGCTCCATATCTGAAAGGGAACACTTGTTGGGAAGTGAGGATACACTACAGCAATGCGTGCCACCAGTCCCACGTGTATGGAGTTGCAGTGACTGGCTGTGACCACCAGGGGATGCACCTTCAGCATGCATATGACTGCATGTACTGAGTTGGCAAACACTGAAAGGGGGTGGGTGAGCATGTACAGAGGTACAGAGCTGACCAGCTTTAAAAGAAGGTGGAGGCAGGCTGCTATAATCCTCTCTTCCTTCCCCTCTGCTTAATTGTGTAGATGTTTAACAGAAGCTAACCATTTGCTACATTGAAGGTGGGGTACACCAACCTGGGCATCAGGATGGAAATTAAATATGAGCCAGTCATTTTTCCAGTCACCATTATCAAGGGCAGTTACAGTCAATTATGTCTATGCTAATGCAGACCACATATCACAACCACATACTCTTGGACTGCTTATTTGTAGAGGACATCCATCCTACGTACCAGCCATTATCCTGTTTCCTCGAAAATAAGACCTAACCTGAAAATAAGCCCTAGTAGGATTTTTCAGGATGCTCGTAATATAAGCCCTACCCCAAAAATAAGCCCCAGTTAAGTGAAACCCCGCCCTCCACCATTGTGCAGCAACCAGAAGAAGATGACATGACTGTATTTGAAAAAATGTAGATTATGGTACATGAAAAAAATAGAAATAAAACATCCCCTGAAAATAAGCCCTAATGCATTTTTGGAGCAAAACTTAATATAAGGCCATGTTTTATTTTCGGAAAAACATGGTAGTCAGCCTTCTGGAGAGAAAAATTGTTGGTGGTACAGAATGAGGAGGATGCAGCTGTTTTAGTAAATTTCAGTAAATGAATAAGGGACACATCTGGACAGAATGAGGATATTTGTGGTGGTGTGCAGCATTTTTCCCTCCCCCTCTTCCCTCCTGTTTGGCTAGCAGCCTCAGTGACTAAACCTCAGCACTCATTTAGCTGGCTCAAAAACCACAGCTTTATAGGAGTGACTTTGAATCAAAGAATACAAAACCATAAAGAATGAGGCAGTCCATAGCTATTCATCCATGATGTTGAACTGTAACTCCCACACAGAAATGGAGGCAGTGAACATACAAGGAATGGGCAACAGTAACAGGTAAGGTCAGCCAAGAGGGAAACCCTCCAAGTCACTAACACCAGGCCACTTGGGAAACCTTTCCTCTGGAAGCATCTCAGTGTGACTTAGGTGGTAGAGATTGCACCTTTCTTGGGTTCTAGCCCCAGATGTCGTTTCTAACCAACATTTAACTCCTTTCTTGGACTTAACTCTTTTTAAGGACTGCTTTCTCATGAAATCAAGCAAGAACATACTGTAAATCAGAGATTGCCAACCTGGGGGTTGTGATCTCCAAGGGGGTTGTGTAATGTTTCCTGGAGGGGAGGTCATGGGTTGCCTCATATATGGGTCATAGCTCTTTGTTAAATAATGCAGGAGCAGGTGATACGACCATTAAGAATATATATTAAAAAAACAGACAGCAAGCTTTCGATGATAAATCATCTTCTTCAAGACTGTGCATCAAATTCTTGTGGGCAGTTCCAAACTTATGTGTTGTTTTTAATGTCCCAAATTCACATGGCTGATGGTGTAGAGGCCAGGTAAGCTTCTTAGATGGAAACAGCTGCAGCATGCATGTTGGTTTCGAGCTCTTCTTCAGCTGGCAGTTTGAAATAATTCCTTGAAGAAGATGATTTATCATCGAAAGCTCTCTATTTTTTGTTTTTGTTTTGTGTTTGTATGTGTTTTATATTATTAATGGTCGATTAAAGGTATCACCTATTCCTGCATTTGTATTGCAAAAAGGTTGTGAACTGCTGCTAGACATTATACTAGCTATATGCAAATCTACATGAAAGTAGGAAAAATGTGGACTCTCCTTTCTTCTGGAGACTTGGTAAAATTAAATTCTGAGCATATCTTTGAAAAATGCCTTTTAGATTGTGCTGGCTTTTCATTATCAGACTTAAGTGATCCTGTGACACCATGCTAAACAAAGGATGCCCTGCCCATTTTCCATGGATTGTATGAAGCAGCTTTAAGATTTGGTGTGAGGCTCCATGCCCTCCTCCCATCTCTGCTCTCCTTTTCAAAGCCCTCAAATATATCACTTCTATAAGGTATTGCTAGTACTGAGGCACAGGGTTCCAGATCAAGGGTTATTGGGAGGGGCCAGATCAAGGGTTATTGGGAGCTCAGTGCTTCAACAACATGGAAACAGTGGTCCCATCAGATTCTTTTTCATTATGAAGGCAGGCCCCTCCCAATAATATATATATTAGCTCAGTGCTTCAATATACAGTGGGGTCTTGACTTGAGAACTTAATCCGTATTGGAAGGCGGTTCTCAAGTCAAAAAGTTCTCAGGTCAAATCTGCATTTCCCATAGGAATGCATTGAAAACCATTTGATCCGTATCTGCTCTTTTCCGTCCATAGAAACTAATGGGAAGCTGCTATTCCGCCTTCGACCACTAGAGGGGGATATTTTGTTTCTTTTTTTCTTAGGTCAAGAAAGGTTCAGGGAAGGCAGGGAAAATACAGCCAGATCAAGTTGGGAGGGGCTTGCCTTCATAATGAAAAAGAATCCGATGGGACCACTGTTTTCATGTTGTTGAAGCACTGAGCTAAGTGGGATGGGGTGAGGGAATATAAAGCCACCCCGCCCATGGCCCCTTAGAAACCAGAGTTATTGCCTCCCTGTTGTTAATTCAGTGGGGAAGCAGCAATCTGATTAGGGACCCAAAGTCTCTTATTTGTCACCAAAGCATTCTCCTATCCCAGTGTATGTATATATGTTTGGTTGGGTTTTTTTAATGTGTTTTTGTTCGTATTGTTTTTTGGTGATTGCACACATGCAATTCCCAGCCAGCACTAGAAGGCAACGTTTGGTTGGTTTTTTTATGTGTTTTTGTTTGTATTGTTTTTTTGGTGATTGCACACGTGCAATTCCCAGCCAGCACTAGAAGGCAACCTGTATGAAACAACCATTTGCCTAGCCTGCTAGAAAGAGTACCAGGAGTAGTTTATGAAACATTGCCTTTTCTATTATATCAGCTTTCCCCAGTTGGGTGCTATTCAGCTGGGTTGGGCTGTTATTCCTGCTATTTCCAGCCAGCATGGACAATGAAACCACCATATGCAAACTTGAGTTTGTTGCGATCTCTTGCATGTGTTGGTGTGTTTGTTTTGTTTTGTTTTGAGTACATCATTGCAGAGGTGTATATTTTCTAAGCTACTTTGGAAGGACTGCAGTCTTAAAATCCAGCAAATATATACATTAGTAAAATAAAATAAGGGCTTGTGTCCTGTTATTATGTTTGTAAAGTGTGAGATGTGTACTAATAATGAATAATATCAGTGATAAATATAGATCCTTATATAATAAATAGCAATTGGAAGATCAGACCCCCCGTTCCTCCTTATGAAGGCTTATTGGGAGTTCACTACAATTGCTCATGGTTACAACATAATGTGCTAGTTGACTGTAAAGCTTCCAAATTGTAAAGCTGAGTCCTGAAAACTGTTAAGGGACATGGATGTGGGGAGAGTAAGGAAGCTACTACGACAACCAGCACTGCAGCCTGTCTCTATAGTACTCTAAAACAGACGTCCCCTTGAACAGGCCAGTCCTGTTCATGTGGCTTATCTCTTGTGTGCTTTCAGTTTAAACAACTTCTTAAGCAAGTTCCAGACCTTGTTCTTTGCTATAGTGAAAGAGGGATTGTGTGTTTGAATGTGTGTGTTGAAATGTGGGAAAGCGTCTGTAATTATGAAACTTTCCAATAAAATCTCCAGACGTAGATTTCTCCCCCCCCCCTCCCTTGGCGTCATCTCCAATTAGAAGAGAAGAGGGTGGAGGAAAGAAACCTCTAAGAACTCAGGGAAGGAAGCAGTCTTTACTACAGCAGGTGGAACATGCATGCTGGATAAAATTATTTTTTTAAGAACAGAAAGGAGGAAAGAAAAACATCTGCAACATCGAGGTTTAAAGGGCTTTCCTGTACATTTGGAACAGCAGCTGAAGTTCAGCTTAAAATAAAATCACATGGAGAAATTATTAACTGCAATTTATGACGTCAGAGTTGATCTGATTAAAGGTTTGTTTTCTTGCTGGCGGAGGTGTGTTCTGTAGAGACTGGTTCTCTCTTCTTTTTTTGTTTTTTTGTTTTTTTAAGTTTCATTTTTGAACAGCAAACGGAGAACCGCTTGCCTTGGTGCTGCTGCTCCGGCTGCGTGCGTGTGTGTTGTTAAAAGGATGGTGTTTCTCTAGCTGCCACGCACAAAACAACACATTTGACCATGAGGACTCTTCGCAGGTTGAAGTTCATGAGTTCGCCCAGCCTCAGTGATCTGGGCAAGAGAGAGCCGACAGCCTTGGATGAGCGGGGGACCCAGCAGCGACGGGCCTGCTCCAACGCTACCTGGAACAGGTACGGTCTTGTATTTATCTCGGTCTTCCCCCTCCCCCCACCTCTTCTTCCCCAGGAATTTTCTCAGGATAGTCAAGATGAGTAACACTGTTTATTTCTGACTCAGATTTTTTTCCCCGTTTACAGCATAAACCAGTTTAGACTTTGGTTTGATTTTACTTTAAAAATACAAACCAGGGAGATCATGCTTCTCCCCACTCCATTAGTGTTGAGATGAAATATATAATTTTGCTTTTATACTCATGTCATTCTGACTAGATGATACAGAAAACTCCTTTTTTCACTTTGCTGATTACTGTACCTCCTGTTTGCTTCATCTTTTGTGAAAGCAAGTTTTATGTTATCCTTCTGTGTTAGAGAAGGATAAATGATGGTATGATTTAATTTTTGCAACAGTATTCCTTGGTGATAATTTAAAATATACAGATGTAAATGAATTATTGAAATATATTTGTAGTTGGGTAGAAAGAACTCATAAGAGCTTAAAGAGAGATTTCCTGAAAGAACTGTTTTGTGGACTGGATGTATGTGTAGACTGCCAGAATTCCTGATAGTGTCTTTATAACACTGTTAATAGAACATGTGGTTTTGGAAATAGAAATAAATCCTAAATGAGACCAACTCATTTAGACCAACTGAATCAATGGCTAAAAGCCTGTTGTGTGGCTCCATGTCCACAGCAGAAATGGTGTCATTAGCAGTGGCAAATTGCCACAGATTTTCAAGGCTTCTTTTGGTGATGTTGGGATGCACACGACTTCAGCACATTGTTAATGAGCCTCATGCACATCAGTGTTGTCTTTAATCAGTGGCAATTTGTGACTGATAATGACATCATCATCCCTGTTATACATGTGGAGCTGCACAACACGATTTCAGCCAGTGGGATTTGCACAGGTATTGGCTCACCATTCCACTGTTGATTCATTGAGTCAACTTTAGTTGGGATTAGCAACTGGAGTTGAGCTTTAAGCATAGTAAATTTTAAGTTCCCTATAAGTTGGATGCAGCTTTATAGCATATAATAACAATAATGTGTGCCATAAATACAGAGATGGGCATTGCAACTTCATTGGTCCTTTCTTCCCTTTTGTTTGAGAGGAAATGCTTTAGCAGGAGCAGTTGAGAATGATGAAGTAGCAGGCAGAAAAAGTCTTGAAGGCCTCCTTTCTTCCCATTTTTTCTCTGCTCTAAATTCTGCCCCTCCCCTCCCATCTCCCTTAAAGATGGGTTTTGTTACACACATACAGGCAGTATTTCATTTAATGGAAGTAAGTCCATAGATCACATTGTGTATAGGACCTGGGCTATATGGTTATGATTTCTGGATTGGTATCATGTATAACTTTGTATGTTACAGAATGTAGGGGGAAACAGGATATGTAGGACTCCCCTAATCTTGTAGTATAACATCTGAGACCCTATGGAAGGGGTAATCATCTTAAACATTACTGTTTGTCCCCATTAGCAAACAACATTAGCACAGCAGGGTTCCTTGTGCCAGGTGCCACAAGTGTGGTGATATCTCGGCAAATACAGAGAAGCTTCACATGTGCAAAATACCCAGCCACCTAAGATGGCATTAAAAGTTGTTTTTACCACTTGAAGCATGGTCAAAGCATATATGTCCACATATATCTCTGTATCATATAAATCTACCCTAAGTTCCATTGAAAATCACCATGTGTTTCCTTCAAGTAATTTAGTCTATCTGTTTATTTCCACTTATTTTCTATAAAGAAGACATTCAAAATGACTTATAAAGTTACATAAATAAATAAAAGAGTGCCTGGCATTGCAATAACTGAGCTCTAGGCAAACATGGGGGCGAGGAAGTTAGGTCTAGTAAGAGTTTAGTAGGCTTAAAATGAAAAATATTTATCAGAATACCTCTAAACTATATTAAAGGGAACTTTTAAAGTAACATTTGAAAGTAGCTAGAAAATATTGCTTGTTGTGTCAGAGAAGCAACTTCATTCCTTCTCATTACTTTTGAAATGTAACTTTGTTATGCCTCAGTACCTTAGAAGTAACTAGTTATGGGTTGCTATGCTGCTTGCTGTTACTTCCAAGCTCTGATTGAGAACCAGAGAGAAATAGACTTTTTAACCTGCCACCTAAATGATAGTGACAGCAGCACCAGGGGAGAGAGCTTTGTGCCTCTGAGCAGCAGCTGGTGTTATTAGGATGAAGAAGCAGCTTCCTCTTTTTCACATGGCACCTAGCATGGAAGACCGCTGTGTAGGGGCTACCTGTGAATACAAACTTGTTCATTAAAATCTCTCTCTCTCTCTCTCTCTCTCTCACACACACACACACACACACACACACACACACAGAGAGAGAGAGAGAGACAGACAGACAGACAGACACTGACAGTTAAATCAATGGGACAAAATCCAGAGAGAAGGACTTTCACTGGCATGGGAGCATTTCAGGGCCCATAACACCCCCTACAAAGGACCTCAGCAACCCTGATATTTCCTTAAATCAATAGGACAAAATCCAGAGAGAACGACTTTCACTGGCATGGGAGCATTTCAGGGCCCATAACACCCCCTACAAAGGACCTCAGCAACCCTGATATTTCCCTGTTTATCCAACTCTCACATTCAAAACTAAACTGTATTACTGTCCAGCATCATTTTAAAAAAATTCCTAGGTGTTATTACAAGGATTTTTTTTTGTCTGTGGTATTATCCTTCTTCTTTACAGGTGTGTGAATGATTTATCTGCAACTCATTTGTTCTCCTTTTTTATGCATTCTTAATTTATTAGGATGTAGGCCATACCATCCCTATAAATTAAGCCATACCATCCCCATAGAGGGACGTGGTGGCGCTGCAGGCTAAACCGCAGAAGCCTGTGCTGCAGGGTCAGAAGACAGCCATACCATATTAAAAAAAGAGGTAGCCTCTAACTCTTTCTTGTTTTTGCCCTAATAGATAATGCATTTGCCTTCATTTGGTTGCTCATTCTCTGTTAGTGTTGCTATACACCTGCCACCAAAAAAATGTGGGCCTCTCAAGTTATTAAGTTTATAATGTTGATTATTACTACTAATGGGTTTCTGCCACAGTGATCCATAGTGCTTTGCAATGCAACAAGTTGGGTGATGTTTTATGTTGAGCCTCCAAAATATAAAAAGGCAAGCTCTTGGATCCTTCAGGGCTCTAAAACAGGCGGGGATTTGGAATTTAGTTGGAGAAAGAGAAGAATCCTGCTCTGATGGCATGACTGTGGGAACCATAGGTAGTTAAGTCCTAAAGTGGGAAGTGTTGTAATGGGCAAAATCCTGTGGGGTAACTTGGCGTCCAGTGCAGCTTGAAAGATACCTTTCTCACCTACCATATTAAAAAAAGAGGTAACCTCTAACTCTTTCTTGTTTTTGCTCTAATAGATAATGCATTTGCCTTCATTTGGTTGCTCATTCTCTGTTAGTGTTGCTATACACCTGCCACCAAAAAAATGTGGGCCTCTCAAGTTATTAAGTTTATAATGTTGATTATTACTACTAAGGGCTTTCTGCCACAGTGATCCATAGTGCTTTGCAATGCAACAAGTTGGGTGATGTTTTATGTTGAGCCTCCAAAATATAAAAAGGCAAGCTCTTGGATCCTTCAGGGCTCTAAAACAGGCAGGGATTTGGAATTGAGTTGGAGAAAGAGAAGAATCCTGCTCTGATGGCATGACTGTGGGAACCATAGGTAGTTAAGTCCTAAAGTGGGAAGTGTTGTAATGGGCAAAATCCTGTGGCGTAACTTGGCGTCCAGTGCAGCTTTAAAGATACTTTTCTCACCTCCTTCAGGTTCCGTTGCTGCCTTGGGCTCTCTTTTCTCCTAGGGAAGTCTTTGGGAGCCTCAGGTTGAGGGTGGAACCTTTAAATCCAAAAATCGCCATCAATTATGCAACAGGATTTGGCCAGTGTTCAGTCAGGATGATTTTGAGACTCTTCTATTTATCCCTCCATCCCAAGTTTTTAATGCCTAACCTCTGAAGGACTTGTACACTAACATTTTAAAATGTAGCCCTATAAAGAATATCACTAATTCTGCTTTCTGGTTTTATAGACCATGTAGCCAAATTTGCTTGTTTGTTTCCTTATTTATGGAAGAAAAAAGTATGTTCCTGCTTAATAATGGTGGGGAATGTGTGGGGAAGAGGGGGCTAATGTGGAGGGAAGACTAAAACAGACAAGAATGTAATTAATTAATTGGTATTCAGTTACAAAACCCATCTGTTTCAGTAAGGCTCAGGGAGATATGCGAAAGGTTTTACAAAGGGTTAAGATTCAAGTAGGTGCTTGAAAGTAGTATATGAGAAACAGTCCCTGCTCCTTTGTGCCTTGGACTTCCAAGCACAGCTGCAGCTGTTCTAAACCTGCACAGATACTTTCCAGGCTATATGTTTGTGGTTTGTATGCAGGTGTCACCTGGTGACTGTGCTTGCATTAATTGTATGGGAGAGAGTGAGATGCTATGGCTTTGCTCGAAGCAAGAGAAGCAGAGCCAAATTCAACAACATGGATTAAGAAAGGCATGTGACTTATAGTGTGCAATCTTTGCTAATAGGTTATTTTTCTAAGAAGTGTCCCAGTTTCTGAGCTAGTTTACCACCTATAATTAGAGCAAACACATTCATGGAAGCCATAGGAATCATATGTCCACCTTAAAGCAATAGCAGGCAACAGACCTTATACAGTGGTGCCTCGCTTAACGGGCGCCCCGTTTAACGACGAAATCGCATACCGACAAACTTTTTGTGATCGCTTTTGCAATCGCATTGTGATGTTTTAAATGGGGAAAAATCGCTTTGCAATGATCGATATCCTGTTTCGATTACCGATTATCGCAAAGCAGTGATTTTCCCCCAGCTGATAGGTGGTTCCAATATGGCCGCCAGGTAAAAAAATGGCCGGCCGCTGTGTTTAGGGACGGATTCCTCGCTTACCGGGCAGTGAAAATGGCCGCCGTAGGGAGGATCTTCGCTTAAAGGTCAGT